TAATTTCCATAATTGTTTATTGTTGATAAAATTAAATATTTAAACCAATTATACTTTATTAGAATCTTGGTTTGGTGCCCGTAGCATAGTGGTTACCGCACCAGGCACATACACTGAAGTTGGCGGGTTTGAACTCAGCCCAGGCCAGTTAACCAACAATGACGACTGCAGTAAAAAATAGCCGGGCGTTGTGTCAGGGGCCTGTAGTACCAGCTACTTGGGAAGCTGGGGCAAGAGAATCTCTTGAGCCGAAGAGTTTGAGGTTACTCTGAGCTGTGACGCCATAGCACTCTACCAAGGGTGACGTAGTGAGACTCTCAAAAAAAAAAAAATAATAATAATCTAAGTTTCATACAGGCAAGATGAGTTCTTTGCTTTGTTCACTGACCTTTCAACGTTGCTTACAGGAGTGTTGGATACATAGTAGATACTAGTAAATACTTGAATAAATTACTACAGTTTTTCACTTCAGAGTCTTACACTTTCTCTCCTAATTGACTGGATTTCATTGTTTTATGTACATACATATATATGTATAAGTAAACACACATATATACAGAGCTCCCCCCTCCACCACCCAAAACAAGATGAGGCATGTCGTGTTGCTTGAGTTCCTTCATGTTCAAAAATGACTGTCTTTTGCTTGTATGTTTGAATAACATCTCCACTGGACAGAATACGTTTTTGGCCATACTTTCCCCAGTAGAACCTCTGTACACAGGGCCATTACCTTCTGGTACTGGATGCTCTTGGCTCATTTTATTGAGTGACCTCTTAATATTGGTGTAATAAATTGTTACTAGTTCTTTACAATCTTATATATTGTTTCCTTCACGTCATGAATTTTTTTTTTTTTTTGAGACAGTGTCACCCTGTTGCCTAGGGTAGTGTCTTTGTGTCTTTGTAGCTCACAGCAACCTCAAACTCTTTTGTTGTTGTTGGCTTTTTTTTTTTTTTTTTTTTGAGACAGAGTCTCACTTTGTTGCCCCTGGTAGAGGGCCATTGCATCATAGCTCACAGCAACCTCAGACTCCTGGGCGCAAGCAATTCTGTTGCCTCAGTCTCCGGAGTAGCTGGGACTATAGATGTCTGCCACAACACTTGGCTATTTTTACAGGTGGGGTCTTGCCCTAGCTCAGGCTGGTCTCAAACTCATGAGCTCAGGCGATCCACCTGCCTTAGCTTCCTAGAGGGCTGGGATTATAGGCATGAGCCACTGTGCCTGGTCTCAAACTCTTGAGTTCAAGTGATCCTCTTGCCTCAGCCTCCTGAGTAGCTGAGACTACAGACATGCACCACTACACCCAGCTAGTTTTTCTATTTTTAGTAGAGATGGGGTCTCGCTTTCGCTCAGGCTGGTCTCAAACTCCTGACCTCAGGCAATCCATCCACGTTGGCCTCCCAGAGTGCTAGGATTACAAGCGTGAGCCATCATGTCCCACCTTCAGAAATTTTTAACTTAAGCTTTTAGTCAGTTGTTTGCTACAGTCATGCATAAGTTTTAAATGTTTGTTTCTTATTTAACTTGGACATGGCCATATCTTTGACAACATTCTTTGTCAATGAATATTTTGAGTACCTTCTGCTCAATTCTGTGTATCATGAAATAATTGATGACCAATGGACCCTATCCTTAAGGGGCCTGACTTGTAAGGTAGATAAAATAAGTGTGTTGACACAACGCAAAGTAGAAAGTGATGTCTTTGTGCTGCTGTAACAAAATACATGAGACAGGGTAATTTACAAATAGAAAAAAAACTCTTCTAATTCTGGAGGCTGGAAAGTCCAAGATCAAGATGGTGATGGTAAAGGTCTGGTGTCTGGTAAATGCTCTCTGCTTCCAAGATGGCACCTTGTTGCTGTATCCTCAGAGTGGGAGGGCAAAAGGGCTAGGAAGCTGATTCTTTGATAGGACATTACTTTCCTCATGACTTAATCACGTCTTCAAAGGCTTCACCTCTTAATATCAACATATCTGGAGGAACACATTCATTCAAACCATAGCACCAAAGAAGCCTGAAAGCCTCTTACAACTGGCATGGAGTGGCAGCTGAGGTGAGGGAGAAGGGACCCATGGACAAAAGCTTTCTTAAATCTAAGAAACAGTATCACAGACTACTTGCCTACAAGGTAATGATACTACCATAGAGCAGCTTAATACCTTAAGTGTTCTGTCAGGAGTAAGCTAAAAGGAAATGGAGATAGAAAAAAACAAGGCAATTATCTCTTAGCAAAGAAGCTGTAGGGAGGAGCAGGCCTACACAGCTCAGAAGATACCCATTGTAAAATTTTCCTTCTCAGAAAAGGCAGGCAGCAGCCCTAGATCAAAGGGCTTCTTTTCAAATGGGTATGTACATTGCTGACCTCAAAGGATGTGATCTTCTCAAAGAGATGAGTGGGAAAGTGCATTGAATCACCAATGTTCAGTCCTTAGAGTCTTTATTTCTTTCTATGAACCTGTCCTCTGGACTAGTTTGGAAAGCTTGCTGCCAAAACTTGATTTGGCATATATCTAACCACTATATCTACTGCCCTTTTCACCCATTTCTGCTTATCAAACTTGTTAACAAATATTTACCCTGGTTAGTTTTTTTTTTTTTTTTTTTTGAGACAGAGCCTCAAGCTGTCCCCCTGGGTAGAGTGCCGTGGCATTACAGCTCACAGCAACCTCCAACTCCTGGGCTCAAGCGAGTCTCCTGCCTCAGCCTCCCAAGTAGCTGGGACCACAGGCGCCTGCCACAACGCCCGGCTATTTTTTGGTTGCAGCCGTCACTGTTGTTTGGCCGGTCCAGGCTGGGGATTCGAACCCACCACCTTAGGTGTATGTGGCTGGCGCCTTAGCCAGTTGAGCTATAGGCGCCGAGCCGGTTAGTTAATTCTTTAATGAACAATTCAATCATACTTGCTGGCATTTGGGCATCACAGGTATCTCTGGCTTCTTGGTCAGTTATTCTTCCCTTAGGTCTAACAGTACTGCTTCCACTTTGTCTCCCCTGAATTTAAGCTGAGCTCATTGTTTTTGAATACATCTTGCTGGATATGGTGTTTATATGAATATATCCTACTAAGGTTTGTTATATTCTCTTTCTCAACTGCTATTTTGAAATCTTACTTTTTTCAAGGTTATTTACAATCATACCTTATTTTTTAGTACTCCCAAACATGCATCAACAGTACAGGTAAAGCTGATCATTGTCTTCTACATCAGCCATACAGTTCCCATGTCTGTGACCCTTTACTTCCCTGTTTGACATCTCTCTTTCATTGCTCTGTTCCTTTCTATATTTTATCTGTGAAGGTTCAGCTTAAATCCTTCATAAAGCCTACCTGACTACCCTCGGTCCCATTGCTCATTACATTCTCTGCAAGAAAGTAGCAATACACTCCCTCTTAACACTTAGAACTTAATTAAATGGATCTTTAAGTATTTCTATAAATGCTAGCCTGTATGGTCCTTGAGGCAGGGGCTCTTATTTAGATAGCTCTTGCCTTCCACCATCTTAGGCCCTCAGAGTTCAAAAAGTATTAGGAGAAGGAGGTGATTGTCCTGACCCAATGTTGAGGACTGTAAAAGAAGCTCTTGGGGAAACAAGGTGATATCCATCTTACTTTTCTCATAGCATAAATGTGTAAATGGAAAGCTATCAGAACATCTTGGAAGACCATTAGGATATAATTCACAGTTAAGATAAAAGTATGTCTGTCAGTAAGATAAAAGTATGTACCTCAGAATTTTCATTATGACTTTTCATTTTTATAAACCTTTGTTTAGTATCATGCTGTATAAAAATATTAATGGTGGGCGGTGCCTGTGGCTGAAGGAGTAGAGCACCAGCCCCCTATGCTGGAGGTGGTGGGTTCTAACCCAGCCCCAGTCAAAAACTGCAAAAAAAAAAAAAAAAAAAAAATTAATGGTGACTCTTTAAAAAGAGCACATAGGTCACTAATAAGGGATACTAGAGAGTAGTAACAAAATAGCAATCTATGTACAGTCTCATGTCAACTTAGGTAAAGAAATTAATTTGTCACACTGCTACTACAGGCAATCACAATTAAGAAGGGAAATGAACATAGAGCAAAAAAGTGATGCATGGAAGTAACAATTGTCAAAATCAAATGACAAATGTTTAACATTTTATCAAATCTGAAAGTGAATCTTCTTTCAGTAAGTTTTCATAATTTTATGCACTACAAAAGGCTGACAAAATTTCTTACAGATATAAAATTTGAAAGCTCTTTTAATTCCAATTCTTTAAATATTAGCATCAGTTGACAATAGTAATATTATTATTCTGAACCTAGATTTGCATTTTTCTGAAGTTTACCTGAGAGGACAAGTATGATTTAAAAAAAAAAAGCAAGCACGTCCCAGGTGAAAGTTTTCTTTTTTAATGCCACAGATTGGTAAAAAAATGCCTGATCCTCTCAGTACTGTATTTAAAGAAATAGTGCGGTATGGCAGAAAAATTAAGTTTTCCTCAATCCCCCCAAACAACAATAATCTTTCAGCATCTGAAAGAATCTTGAAAAACAGTGATTCAGAACTATACATTTTAACAAAAACGGGGATTTTTCTGGTGTTAAGTTCATTCATTTTTTAAAAAAAAAAAATCAGGTTAATTTGAGGATACAAAGAGTTAGGTTACAATGTTTGCATTTGTTAGGCATAGCCCCTGTTGTAGTTGTGTCCCCCGCCAGGAGGTGTGCCATATACCCCCACATTGTGTCCATTAAGTGGGAGCACACCAATCCTGCTCCCTCCTCGCCTCTCCTCCTCCCTTCTTACCCCGCCCCCAAATCTAGAATTGAAGAGGCAAGGATAATTTTGAGTAACAACATGTCTAGTTCACTTTTCAGTCAAATCCTGTTTATATAAATCTGCATATATAGTGTCAGTTTTTACAAAGAGCCCAGTAAATTACCAAATGACACGGTCCATTTAAATAGTATTGATCATCATAGGATTATTCAGAGCAGTTACTGTACAACTACACAAACACAACACATGGCTACACGTACTTTATTTGGAATTCTGCACCGTGAAAACATTTCTGTAAGAGGTCAGTAATCTTTCATTGATCTAGGAACTCTGGCACTGAAAGCGTGAATAACCTAAGGTAATGATGTCGTCACCAAGGGACGACAAGAATAGAACCCAAATCCCTTGACTCCCAAGCTTGTGTTTTCCACTAATTGTGCTCCTTTCTACTCATCTGAGAGCATCAAGTGTAAAGGGTTGGAGAAGGGAGTGGACACAAATGAGCCAAGCCTGCGAGGTGGAGACTGCACTGACGGTCCAAAGGAATCGCCCTTTGGCACTTTGCTTTTGTTTTGGCTGAGGAAGATGAAAGCAGCAGCAACCACAAACCCCTGGGACCAAGAACTGGAACTAGGTACCGCCCGATGTGGTAACTCTCTCTTCCTCTTTGTAGGCCTTTCCTTTTCAACCTCTCCCTTCCGGCCAAGCCTGGCGCCTCCTTCACCTCCCGCGGTTTCGTTCCCTGCTCCTTCGGCCCCACTCTGCGGCGCTGCCAGGTGTGTCCAGGAGAGGCGGCAGCAGCGCCACACTCGCCCTCCGCCCGGCCCTTGCGTCCAGTGCTCCAGGGGTTCGTAGCGCCACAGCATTTTCTCTAGGAAGTGAGCGGTAGTCAAGCATTGTGTTTCAACTGTTGCAAACTTAAAAGAGGGGGCGCGGAGCATGTACCAGATGTGCTCTGCGTGGGTCTGGGAAGCTCATCAGCACAAAGCAAAACTTAAGACAATGAGCACCGAGCCTTTCTCTTTAGCTGGGGGCTTCACGGAGCTCGGCCATCCCCCTGGGCAACCTCCCGCCGGAGGACGCCTTCCTGAGCGCGCGTGTTTACTCTCTTCCCGGACTGGGCGGAGAAGACGCGCGGTCTCGGACCCCGGGGGATTCCAAACCGTTACTCCGCCTGCCGGGGTGGGGCCAGCGCAACGGCAGAGCCTGCGCGGAGGAGCTGGCCGGCTCCAAGGCCCTGGCGCACTACAAGTCCCAGAAGGCATCGCTCCACGGGGTGGGCAGCCGCCTTACCTGCCGCGAGCTTTTTCCTGCCGCTTCCACCGCTTTCCCCCTCCCCCGTTCCCGTCGGTGTCCTTCCCATGGTTAAAAGGCTACTTTCTGTTGAAGCACATGAGAAGCTTCACCACTCTTAACATCAACGCTCTTCGCGTACTCGCTTTTTCTGCCCCTGTCCGCCCATGCCTGACTCCCTCACCGGAGCGGGGTAGCGGACGGTAGAGAGGGAAGTCCGCGCGGGCCGCGGCCGGGCAGCCTGGCCGCACTTCCGCCTGCCGTCCCCGGAAGGCAGCGCGCACGCGCTCGCTGCGACTCCGGCGCGGCTGACTTCCGCTCCCACTGTGCTCTGCGAGCCGAATCATGGATCACACTGGTAAGGAGGCGGAGGCAGTGGGGGTCCCGGTTCCATGCCCCCTTGGCCGGCCTGGGACTGGTCGCCCAGCGGGCAAAAGGAATTATGCTCTCCCTACGACTCTGGGGTGTGGCAGTGAGAAAGAAACCCCACAGACCCCTTTATGTATCCGGCAGGGGCCTGCTGCTTCCTGGCCTACTCCCCGGTGCGGTACCTACCTCCTCAGTGCCGGCAACAGCCGCTTCTTCCCTGGTTCTGTTGCCCTTGGTGCCGGGACAGTGGGCGGCGCAGGCCTCGCGGAAAAGGAAGAGCTCCCGCTCTTTTTTTCTCCACCCGGCTGCTCTGCACTACGTTATGGGCACTGGCGGGTAGATTCCAGTCTCGGAGTCGGGGGAACCTCATTACTCTGGGAGTGGATGTGTTGTCTCGGTCAGCTTGGGCGGGTGCTGCACTGGTCACCTCCTGTGGTTGTCTCTCAGGTCCTTCATGGGTTAGAGGTGAGAGAAGGAAACGCATATAGTTTGGGGGACCAAAGTCAGAGCACCCTTAAAGCGCAAAGCATGCCCCGCGCCTCGGCAGCGGTTCTTGCTCATCATTATTTGGGTTTGTTTACAAAGAAAAACTTAAAAATCAAGACATTCTCATCCCTTTCTCCAAGTAAAAGTGGCTCCAACCTTTGTTATGTGCTTTTGGCTTTTGCTTCCTTGTTGTTCTTGGATATTGAATGAGTGCACGTGAGAATTAGAAAGTGCTCCGCTTATATCAACCACATCACAAGTAGGAAAAAGGGCTTTTTCTTAAGTATTGATTGAGATGTCCTCGTTTATCAAATATCTAGTTACATAATGGGGTGTGTGTGTGTGTGTGTGTATATATATATATATGTATAAACCTACAGATACCTGTAAGCCTGGAAATGGAATGAAGAAATGGTAAACAAGGGGACCAAGTCACTGTTCTGATGGATGCATTCCATCAGATGGGGGAAGACAGGCAATAAACAATCTTTTTAAAAAACTAAACGTTTAAAGATGATGATGAATTTCTTAAAGCACATACATGAGTACTGTAGGGAGACTAATAGGGAGCTGCAGAGAGAGTGCTCATGGAAAGTCTGGAAAGGTAACATTTCAGCTCAGATCTGTTGGATAAGAAGTAAACAGCCATAGGATCAAGCAGGAGGAAGAGCACTCAGGGCGCTGAGCTAGGAAAATGTAGAATAGGCCAGTTAGCTGCAGGCTAGTTACAGCCAGAGGGTAAGAGCCCTAAAATGAGATTGGAAAGGAAGGCAGGGGTCACCTTGTTCAGGACCTTGAAAGCTATGGAAAGATTTGAATTTTAAGTGAATGTGAAGCCGTTAAACAGAAGTAGAAGAGGAACACAATCCTTTAAAAAATATAATAGGTTGTTCTGTGAAGAATAGTGGAAGAGAGGGAGGCAGGAATATTGGACAGTAGCCAGTTTAGGAGGTGTAGACCAGTAGGGAGGCTCGGTTTAGTGAAAAGGAAGATTCAGCAAGTATTTTGGTGGTAGAACTCATATATGTACTGATGGATTGATTTGGAGGTATGTGAGAGAAAGGACAAATGCCTGGGTAGCGCCCATTATGGAGTTGGGGAGAACTTGGAAGTAAATAGTCTTTTTTGGCAGAGGTGGGACACAGGAATTTGTGAACAAGAGTTTGTTTTTGAACTGCTAAATGTTCGCTATGTATTGAGACAAAGGGGAGACATTAAGTGGAGATCAGAGGAAAGATCTGAACAGAAAATACATATTTGGGAGTTAGTATCTTACAGCTGGTGTTTCAAAGCCTGAGGATGGATGAGATTACTTAAGCGTTAAGTACAGAGAAGAGGGCCTAGAACCAGCCTTTAAGAAACTGCAATGTTTGGAAATTTTACAGGGTTAAAACTCTGGGATCTTGATATTAAAGTAGCAAACATTCAACTCTAGGAAAATATTTCTCATTTAAGTCTATTAACTGAGATTGGGAGTGAAGTCCCTGCTACCTTTAGAGGCTGTTATGTTAGGAAATCATATTACAGGTGGGTATGTAAAGATTATTTATCTTTGTTGTCAAAGTTAAAAAGTTGCCTAAGGAAGTAAGTCATCCTAACATGAAAATATTCACTAATGAACTGACCACTTAAAAAAAGTTTCCATTCGTGTCCCTTCTCTTGACACTAATTTCTTACCTATTCTTTTAATTTCTTTATGAGCCAGTCTTCTCAATGTTTCATGTCAGAAGATGGTATCAAATACTGTGATTATGAAGTAAAGTTAGGAAATCTGCAAAAGATCCAGGTTTTCAATAAATTCATAAACATGAGTTTGATAAATATTTAAAGCACAAATAAAGCGTTTGGCAAATGAGGAAATGCCATTTAGCTAGTTAATTGACAACATCATGACAGTTTACATATCTCTAAAGAATTATTTTAATATCAAAAGATAGGCCAGGTGTGGTGGCTCATGCGTGTAATCCTAGCTATCTGGGAGGCCAAAGCAGGAGGATCTCTGGAGCTCAGGAGTTAGAGACCAGCCTGAGCAAGAGCAATACCATGTGTCTACTAAAAATAAATTAGCTGGGCATGTGGGGAGCACTTCTAGTCCCAGCCTATTCAGGAGGCTGAGATAGGAGGATCATTTGAACCTAGGAGTTTGAGGTTGCTGTGAGCTGGGCTGAAGCTGCAGCCCTCTAGCATGGGCAAAAAAATACATAATAAAAGATTAATAAGTCCTTGGAAAAATTGATGAAACCCTTGAACATTATGTAAAAATGACCCATTTTATGATCATGCTGAAAGATTCAAATGTAAAATAAAGGTGTCCTAGTAGGATTTTGCTGGAAAAATTACTCCAAGAAACTCCCAATTAACGTTAGATCTATTCTTTGATCATTCTAAGAGTTAGTGCTTTTGCAACTGTAACCTAAAGTTTTAAAAATATTTCTTGGTTCCTTTTATATAAGATAAAATTCTAAATAAATATTTTTAAAAACTAAGAAATGTGTATTCACCTTAAATGGCCAGTTGTCTTTAGTACTTGCTTGTATAATATCCAAGAACTTTTTGTTGTTATGGGCTTTGTTTTGTTCTGTATTCAAAAGGAAATTGTGGTGTAATGGTCTAATTCTTAATTAAGAAACAAGAAAAAGCAAAAAAGCCCCAAATAAAACCGGAATATTTTCACTATTAAATGCTGTACTATGTATGAACTTACAATTGGTGGGGCAAACAGCAAAGTAGTTAAGAGGCAGCAGATTCTTGAAAGTGGTAGACTTTTAAGAATAGAAAGTAGAACACTGTTGGCAAGCAATAGTGTTCTGGGTGCTGTAAAAAGGGCTTATAGTAATGAGATGTAGGTATTTTCATCATTCAGAAAAGTAAAACCATTAAAAGTCCTTTTAATATGTGAAGGACAGCATTGAACTGTTAACTATCTCTAACAACTTTGTTGTAAAGTCAGGAATACTTTTTGAGCATTCTGTCTTGTCTGTCTTTTGGCCATTGTATTGCTTGATGGAGTTGGGTTTATCCTAACTCAAGATTTTAGCTATCCATGTAGTTCATACTTTTTCTATTGTTTTCTTTCTTTCTTTTTTTTAAGGATTATCTGTTATAAAAGTTGAAGGTAAACTGAAGGATGTTTGGAGTAATCATTAAGAACCCATTTTGAGATTTATATGTTCAGAAAAAGTGCAAATGAATGTGAATTTATATGTGTCTATAACCCTAGTAGCCTTGGAAATCATTAGGGCTTATTTCTTCCAAATTTGGCTTTACTGAATTTGGTGTGGACAGTTTGGCAATCAATCTTGATTATGCTATTTCCAGCAGTGGCAATTACACATCCTTGATCAATAACTTGTCATGTTTAAAACATTACAATTAAAAAAATTGTTATTTGCATTTCCTGTTTCAGAGCATTTTCCCTTTTGCCTTTAATGGATAAAGTTGATTATTTTCTTTATTATATCTTCATATACTACATACTTGAAAAAAGGTAACTCTTAAGCTTTAGATGGGATCAGTTCTATGAAATAAGTAAGGTTCCTATTCCTCATGGAACAGGAATTTATTTATTTCATAGATAATAACAAACAAAGACTTTAAACTCTAGAAGTTACCAGTTGTTTAGACCTACTTGAAGCGCAGAAAGGGTGCATCCTCCTAAATTATAATTTACCATTATGGCCAGGCATAATCCTAGCAGTCTGGGAGGCCAAGACTGGTGGATTGCCTGAGCTCA